TAATTAAAATCATTTTTAGAATGGTTAAGAATGCAAAACTCAATATTCCGATCCTTTTTAATGAAACATGATGATGATGATGATGATGATGAATTAAGGAAATTTTTCATTTGTTAAATTTTGAAAACATGCTTATATATTTTAGAATATACACGAATTCCTGAAGGACTTTCCACGCATCATTTATTAATAACAAAGTTCCGGTAAAACAGCTTAGTAAGGGAACTCTAAGAATGATTGTGCAGTAAAATAAAGCGTAGCGAATGGAGTGGAAATATTTCCATTTAGCTATAACATGCAAATGTAAGAACGATGTATTGCTTTCTGAACAATTTTAATATTGATGAAAAGTTTGCAAGTGAGCATTTGCAAGATAATGCAGTCTAAGCGACTTTGTCCTTCAATACTTTCTGTCCAGGATATGAGACAACGCGACAAAAAACAAAATGGATGTTATGTATATATGAATGCATGCATGCATAACTTTCTTTGTTAAGGCCAGCGTTCTCACCCATTTCTACGGCATCTCTGAAGTCGTAGGTGGGAAGTGATCAATTAATTAAGCACCACTTTACTTTTAAGCTGTTTGTTAAAGGAATATTGTGCATTGAAAATTTAAGGAGTTTTTGAAATCAGTTAAACATAGGGAAAAATCTACTGAAAGTGTTTTTGTTCATATCTATGCAATATATATGATAGCGTTATAATATAGATGCTACTTCGTCATAATCTGAATACCTTTTCGCGGTAATGTGTCTTTGTCATTGATTAATTCCATTACTGTTAGACTTGTTGAAAAGTTTTTCCAGGGTTTCTTTAATTGTGAACTAGTCTTTTATTTTAGCGAAATTTTCATTTTGAGAAAATTGAATAAACTTACGTAATTTCTCTTCCTAAAGTAGGGATGTTTCAGTTCCTCATTATATCTTGATTATGATTCAGTAGGAGCTTTTTCTTGTTCTCCAATATAATTTCCCAACACTGTTGAGAAAATTGAATAAACTTACGTAATTTTTATTTCAAAAGTCTAATTGTATCAGTGGTTAACAATTAGTTACTCAAGAGTGAAATTTAATTTTCAAATTTTTTTTTGTTTATAATGCTTTCATTATTTCTCAGAAATATTGCTTTCTCTAGAAATATGAAATATTTTTCCGAGAAACAGTTCCTCCTCAAGAAGTTATTTGCAAAGGAACAATTCTTTTAATTCATGGCCAATCATTTTCATCATCAACATGGCAGGAAAATTCTACAATGCAGGTCATTTTGAGATATTGAATTCGTAATGAGTTTTTTTAATCCATTGTTATTTTTGTTTAAAGGTTTTAAGCTTCTTAAAAGTAATTCATTTTTATGAATGAATTGGAAAATTATGTGTTAATAGAGCTTATTATTCCTTTTTAGATTTTTTCTGCTGCTGGGTACAGATGTTTAGCGTTTGATATGCCTGGTTGTGGTAAAACTGGTGGACCTACAGTTCCGGATTCTGAAAAAGCCGAAATAATTCCTCTTGCCATGCGTGCCCTTGAACTTGAAACTGTAATTTTTTTCTGGAAGGAAATATCATGGTTGAAAACGTTCGCTAACAAATTTCTGCTGCTTTCTTTAATCAAAGCAGATTTTTTTTAGTTTAGATTTTTGAAAGAATGGTTATTATAACTGCTTAACAAATCGAATTCCTCTTATTTGATTTACTTTTTTTGTTGTTGCAGGTCATAGTTATTGGACATAGTATGGCCGGACAGTATATCATCCCACTGCTTGGAACAAGTCGGTTAACTTGCGTTGTTGCAGTTGCTTTGTCAAATACAAATGTGATGCCGGCAGCCCCCGAAAGTATCAGGACGTCAGTGCTGGTAATGTGGGGTGAAAGTGACACCAGTTTGGGACCTAGTGCTGCCTCTAGTCTCAGCAAATTACCGAATTCCAGGCAAGTTTTCAGCTTTTTGAAGTTTGCGATTTATTTGCCAAATCTAAGCTTTGAAAACGTGCCTCTCCCTCTCTCGTTATTTGTATATTTTCTATTTCTTTCATCTAAGCAGAATGTAAAATTAGTTTTTCTGACTTGAAATCCAAATACTGAATGCGGTAATCACGCTGATGAAGGAACTGTTGATAGATGTTATTTCCGTTTGGCCTCATAATTTTAGATTTCCTGCTGACAAATGTAATCATTTTGTTTCAACCCATTTTTTTCAGGCTGTTGAAAATACCATCAGCAGGACATGCTTGTTATCTCAGCAATCCAATTGCATTCCAATCAGCTTGTTTGAATTTTTTCGAGATGATGGAGTCTTTTGTTGTTTCTTCATTGTAATAATTTTCGCTTTTCTGTAGTGTCCTGTATCAATCTTTTGAAATTTGTGTATAGACATATTTCATCAGCGAACAAAACAGCTCAGTCATATTAGTGCTTAATTAATGCGTGCGTGTGAGGAGCTGTATCGCTTGAGAATCATATGAGAAAGGCGCTATAAAGTAGTCAATAAAATGAATCTGTGCATCGAAGAATGGCGACATTTGGTTGCCATAATGAAAAGGCAGTGATCGAGGTGTTGTTATCATTTGAGTATGATAAAAGAGGATGGTAGATAAGAGAAAGGAGGGATTCTAGAGCGTTGCTTGCATCTTTTTGGTTTTCTCGGATCGAATTCCTTTGACTTTCAATTCATTAACGCAATTAATACATGCAATGTGTCGGAAGGTTGAGGTTGAGATTTCTCAGTGGACTAAAGCGAAATTCAACATATATTACTGAAATTGAGTCCACGAAAAAAGGGGCCCGACTTCAGGAAAAGATCGAATGAACTAGGACAGAACATTAAAATTTTTCTGAAAACATTGATTAAAAATTGATGGAAGTTCTCAAAAAATGATTTTTTTAAAGTGATAAGCAATCCAGCACAGAAATAGCATTTTAAAATGGTGCTGAATTGAATGGAATAATTGAATTGGAATAGCCAAAAATGAGGAATACATCATCACTGGGATCTTTTTTTCCTTTCCTTATGCTGCTTTGTCGCTTGCCGCTTCTTGCGCTTATTACGTACAGATTTTTCTTCCTCCTCCTCCTCCTCCTCCACCCATTCCCGATCCTTTATTACCTACTCCTTTGCATTCTCCGGATTTCTTATTCCCATACATTGATTTCAGTAAATATTCTCGGAAAATTGTATTGGCCTGCATCGTGCAATAACTTATCATCTTACCCTGATTATGCAAATGATCAAATTTGTACTGCTGAAAACAAGAAAAAAAAGACGGAATTAAAATTATCTCCCTTTTTTATAAAATAAAATGTGAAGTAATGAAACAGTGCATGCATTTCAATACTTATTTCTTTTGAATGTTTTAGTGTTCATATCAGTGAATATATAATGTACATATGAATCCCACTTCTTTTCATCATTATCCAACTATAGTGGTACTTAGAAAAAGAGCAGTATCCCGTAGAGAGGAACAGAAATATAGCTTGACAATGGATGAGATTCACGAATGGAAAAATGGGGGAAAGAAGGAAGAGCTGAATAGAAGAAAAAAGGCGGAGCTGTGCCTTGGAAGGACTATCTCAGGCTTCACCTCATTAAAGTCCCTTTCTTTGGGACGTCGAAGCCTCCCTTCAGTCAGAGCATTGATGGACATTGACATGATGAGTAGTATTTCGTTCACCTCAACCATCCTCCCTCTCTAAGTCATTCTAAAAATTTTTATTCAACAATTCCATCGAGAGTATTCTTAACATTTCAACGACCATTCACAACATTCCTCTAAAAATATCTCTACATGAAATGCAATTGTTTCAACTTTTTTTTTTCCTGATCGGTTATTCAAATATAAATGATTCAGTCAATCACTATCATTATTATTTCTCATTCCATTCTTAAGTTCTTTTTGAAATATTCCACCAGAAATTGAACCAGTTACTTTTTAACAACGCTACTTTTGGTATAATTTTTTCTTTATTAATCTGAAGGTTTCCGTTTGCACTAATTTTTCGTAATATTTTTAAATTTGCAGAAATGTATACTTTGAAGTTTCCTGAAAATTGTATGGTAACGATTTAGAAAAAAAACAAAGAAATGCTTCAATCAAAACTAATTACTTTCATGTTTTTCAATTTATGCAATTTAATAGAAAATTCTTATTTATTTCCAGATGCACATTTTTCGATCTTTTTTCTCTTTCTTTTCTGTCAAGTATTTAAGGAACTGATCAATCAATTTCCTTTCAATATTTATTGTCAGAGGAATCAAACTGTTCCAAATATCATTATAATTCATGCAAATCAAAATATCATCGGGATTCAATTAATTCCTTTCATACTTAACACATTCATTCTTTAGTGATCAAATGTTTGCTTTATAAAAATTGGGATACAATTGTTAATTTATTGTAAATAAAAACAAAGATATACCCATCAAATAGTATCAGCAATCATTTATCACAGTACAACGCGGTTTGACGTGTTCAGCTTTTATATTTACATTTTATACTAGATGACATATATGTTGTAGTGTAGGTGAAAAAATTTTCTTGTCAAAACCATGGGTACGGCGTTCCTTTAAAATGGCTGCCACTAAAATAATTACTGATTAGAAATTTTTGTGAGATTCCAAAATTTTGAGGCTAAAATTAGAATTTTTCTAAAATGAATACTAAGAGTTAGAAGGGAGAGGAGAAAAAGAAGGAGGGAAAGGGGAAGGAATATTTTCCTGTTTTGAACTCATCGAAAATATCGAATATGAAATATTATGAAAATGTTAGCCAGCAATTATTTCAACAATAATTACGAACTTTTTGATGAAGTTAGGAATATCATTCTTTCTTCTCCTTTTTAAAAATTTGCTCTCAAATTTTTTGAAAAGACACGCATATCGAAGAATTCAAGAAATCTGTCTGTGTGCCGGTGGAAGGGAAAAAGCGAAGTGGAAAGATTCTAAAGCTAATAAGACAGATTTCAATAGAACTGATTGTTTGCTTTCAAATGTTTGTGAATGGCATCACGCTAACTTCAATTTTTTTTTTGTATAAGTCGAATATAAATTAATTGTATGTTTGTATGTTAAATGTAAATTGAGCATATTGAAAAAGAATTTGGCATACTGAAAAAGGAATCTAATGTAAAAGTGCCGAATATTTTGCATGATTATTTTTTCAGAATTCATTAAGATTACTGGAAATATTTCAGATTACAAACTTGTTGCAAAATTAATTTAGTTTTAGCAGATAATTTGTCAGGCAGAAGTTTTAATAGCTTTCGATAGTCTTGGATTCTCGTGAATTATTACTTCTATTGCTTGCTCATTTAGAAATAGTTAATTGATTTCAGGACCGATTTGTGGGACAGTTCTGCTCTTCAAAGATACAAATGAATGCGAAAATTATGTAAATCGGTTGTTATCTGAACTTTCGGTAAAGCAACTCTGGAAATCAAAAAAGAAATCAATGTCAGGAAAAATGAGAAGATTACATCAACGTGTTACCCTTGGCTCTCAACAGTAAATTAAAAAAAATGGTTGATTACCTGGGCATTGTGGCTATTATATTCTTCTATCTGTTAATTCTTGTTGTCGGCATTTGGGCTGGCCGAAAAGCGAAAGATGTAAACGCAATGTCCATTGATGGTGGACAAACTGAAGAAGTTATGTTGGCAGGCCGAAATATTGGTACTTTAGTGGGTATCTTCACCATGACCGGTAAATATTTAATTTTGAATATTTAAACGTTTTAGAGCATTTACAAGATTAAATGAAACACAGTAAGACATAAAATTAAATGATTTCATGTACGAAATGATAGTTCATCTCGTTGCACTCCAAAGTCATACAACTGCTTTTCCTTGAAATTCTCCAGTTTAAAAAAAAAAATCGAGGATTACTATGGTTTCCAAAATTTCGATTTTTTGTAATAAGATTTTAAGTTTTGTTGAATGAAAAGGCTAATGGCCTTCTACGAAAAAAATTGCATGCTGGCCAGTGTTAATTTCTTCTGCTGTTAAAAATTGTGTATGTGCAATTGTTTTTTTTTATTTTTGGAAAAATATGCATCAGATTTTTATAATTTCATCTTCAGTGTTCGAATGATTTCGAATAATTTTTCGAACGAATGAGTGTTCGAATGAATTGTCGTATGATAGTTAGAGAATATTCAAATATTATTGCTAATATGTCAGTTTAAAGCAACTACAGATTGTGTATTGAGAATTCCCACAAGGAAGTACTGTGATTGCAAAAAAAGGGAACTTGTTTGAAAACTTATTGTTAGTATCTCTAATAAGCACTTCACATATAAATTGGAAGTATCAAAAAACTAACTCAATCAAAAAATATTTTCCAGTATTGATTGAGAATATTTGTCTCAGTACCATATACTTTTAAATTCAGACAATAAATAAAGCATATTTTTGATGTGATTAGCAGTAGACATATATCGTTTTAGATAATATGAATTGTTCGGTGCTGAGAATATTTCACACATATTATTTATAAATCAAAGGATATAGTGTGAGTTTATGTGTGCGCGCTAATGAATGGGTTGCAATTTCAATAATCAGTAAAATTAGTTTTTAGTTGTGTGAGGAAGGTTTATTTGAGAATTTGCATTCATTTTAATTCGTTGAAGACAAAGTAATGAGAAGATTTTCAGTAATTTCTTAGGGATTAAAATATTTCATTTATTCATTCGTTTCTTTCACTTATCCATTTATATCATTCATTCTCTTATTCATTTATTCAATAATAAAATAGATGCAGCCACAATCCAATAAATTTGAGCTTTGCTTTTCGTTTAATGCTACATCACATGTTCACCATCTATCTTTCTGTCTACTTCTCACTTCTCTAATTAAGCATTCCTTATTTTTCTAAATAAAAAATTCAGAATCAAATGTTATGAAAATTCATTTCTTAACCAGATAAACTTTTAGTGTTTAAAGAAGTTGGATATGATGAAATTTCCTTTGGCTTTCTGAAAATTTCTAAATAAGAATTTTAGCCATAAATAATACGTAAAATTTGATGGGAAGTCACCTTTATCTGGAAGAAGGAATATTCTGTTTTTGAAGAAAGTCGGGAAAAGAAATGAAATGGATCGTGCTTTCAGGACATATATATGTATAGCATACATACGTTTTAGTTGATTACTACTGAACTTGTAGAAGGCATATGTGGTAAACGGCTTTAGCGAATCTCGAATATCTCATGGGAAAACAATTCAACTCCAAGCTATCAATTCTTACGATTTTTATTTCTATTTCTGCTTGCGGTAATAAAAACAGCAGCAATAGCAGCTAACAAATATCATCATATGGATAAGATG